GATGAAACCCTCCACCTGTGCCCTGGACCCCTTTCCCACAGCTTTGGTTAAAACATTGGTGCCATAAGTCAGCTGATCACTTCAGTGATAAACCAGTCCATCCAGTCTGGTCATGTTCCACCACCATTAAAAGCTGCTGTCATCAAACCACTCCTCAAAAAACCCACTTTAGACCCTGAAGTCCTAGCCAATTACAGACCCATCTCCAACCTGCCATTCCTATCCAAGGTACTGGAGAAAGTAGTTGCCATTCAGATCCAGGAACATCTAACACTGAATAAACTCTTTGAAAAATTCCAGTCTGGTTTCCGCCAGGGCCACAGTACAGAAACTGCCTTAGTCAGGGTGACCAATGACCTGCTGATGACAACTGACACTTTAGCAGCGGTGGTGGCGAAGTCCATAGGGACTTGGCTTGGCAACTGGAAGGTCACCAGTTCAAGTCCCGCAAAGACCAAGTGCTACCGACTGTCCCAGCTATGGGCAAATAGCAGGGGCAGATGGGGCTCATAGCCATGGAAGGCAACCCATCAAGGAAAAGGACACTCTGAACTAAAACCAGGACTGAGAGGAGTTGCGCCCCCCCCAGTCCTTAATCAGCATTGTAAAGCCAAACATGAAGTGGAGGGCTCGTCTGAGGACAACCTAGAGAGAAAGAGAGAGAGACACCGGATCTCCATCTCTCCTCATCCTCCTGGATCTAACTGCAGCATTTTATACCATCGACCATGACATCCTACTCCACCATCTTCACACTACAATTGGACTCTCTGACTCTGCCTTAAACTGGTTCACCTCCTACCTCACCGGGAGGACTGAGCACGTCACCTTGGGAATGGCTAAATCAAGAACACACTCTGTGACTTGCGGTGTCCCCCAAGGATCAGTCCTCGGCCCCACCCTTTTCACCATATACATGTCCCCCCTTGGTCGTGTCATCAGCCGGCATGGAATATCTTTCCATTGCTATGCTGATGACACACAGCTCTACATCAGAGCAAACCCAACCCCCTCTGCACTTCTGCCATCATCCACAATAACCACATGCCTGGAGGAGATAAAGGTGTGGATGAAGCACAACTTCCTCCAGCTAAACAGCTCCAAGACTGAAGCCATTCTTATTGGCACTCCACATCAGGTTCGTTCATCCGCCATCACCAGCATCACCTTCTCCGGTCAGAACATTCCACTCTCATCAACGGTTACCAATCTGGGAGTTAAAATGGATCCTCACCTGAACTTTGAGGCCCACATCAAGCAAATATGCAAGACCTCTTTCTACCACCTGAGAAATATTGTGAAACTCCGCCCCACACTCAGTCTGCCAGATGCTGAAAAACTTGTCCACGCCTTTGTCTCCTCCAGGCTGGACTACTGTAACGCACTTCTCATTGGGATTCCTAGCAAGAACATCCAGAAGCTGCAATACATCCAAAACACCGCTGCTAGGATCCTGATGAGAGTGCGGAAGTACGAACACATCACACCCATCCTCAAATCACTGCACTGGCTCCCGGTCTCACTCAGGATTGACTACAAAATCACCCTCTTCACTCATCAGTGCATATATGGAAATGCTCCCTCCTACATCAAGGAATTGCTCACCCCACAAACCTCCACGAGGAACCTACGTTCAGTAAAGGCAAACCTCCTCATCCCACGAAGGACAAAACTGAAGACCATGTTTCAAGGTTTTGAAATGTCAAATTTGATGGCATTTCTTTAGAAATCAGAATATCCAAATTCTCTGAACAGGTTTTTAAAATTCAAACTGCATCCCACCCCTTTCATTTGTTTCTCCTACAATGTTAATACATATCCATAATATAAGGCCTTAGAATATAGGCATAAACCCACCTTTTGGGGTATTGCATCTAGATGCCTCCCCAATTGGTTGAACTCAAATGGTTTTTCAAGGGATAGGTGGTACTATCCACATATTTTTAATACATTCAGGCCTTCTTTGGACCAATGCAAACAAAAGCATGCTCATAGTGGCAATGCTAACATGCTTATACTTGGTAAGTGTATTTACTATGTTCACAATCTTAGTTTAAGCATGCTAACTTTTTAATATCACCATAAACATATCAATAAAATCCTCCTATCAGTCTGTGCTCAGTGCCGAGGGGTTTTGGGTTGTTACTTGGCAATGCAAAGTAGATTTCCACTTTGCGTGCTGACAGCTCCACTTCAGCAGTTTCAGTTTCACTACCTGGAAATTTAATTTATGATTTCACTTTGCCTGCATAAAAATGTGAGTGTTTTCTGGCGGGAACAGTCGCACAGGGCAACAATAAACTGTCCAAAATAACTTTGTCTGCTACCTGATGCCAAATGGAAATAGTGAATGAGTAAACAAGGATCTATTTCTACTTCCATTTATATCCGATGTATTTTCTACTATTGACAGTGGATAGATATTTAAAACTGATGGCTGGGAATATCATGCAAATTGAAATCACGATGACAAACCTCATATAAAGGCAATTTAAACAAAGATTGTACAAACTTCTTGGAGACAGAAAAACATATCTGGATCACACTGGATCCCAGTGTGACATGCCACACTCATCAGATTTCCAAATTCACAGTAAGGAGGTTATTCTGTGGGTCAGGACTCAGGAGACGGAAACATGGATCCACACTCAGGCCTATCCAGTGACACAAATACGTAGAGGGACTCTGTAAACATGTGTAATAATAATAATAATAATAATAATGGGTTCCATTTATAAAGCACTTCATATTTGATTTCAAGCACAAGCAGTGAGCATGAACAGTATAAATAGACATTACACAACACGGTATAATTAATAAAAAGCAATAAAAATAAATAAATAAAAGGGTGGTAAAAAGGTCTAGGCAAAGGCTCTTTTGAAGAGATGGGTTTTGAGGCCTTTTTTAAAAGCCTCCACGGTCTGTGGTGCTCTCATGTGGTCGGGGAGAGCATTCCACAGACTGGGAGCAGCCGAGCAGAAGGCCCGGTCTCCCATAGTACGGAGCTTAGTCCTGGGGGGTTTGAGCAAGTTGGAGTTGCTGGAGCGGGTGGTCTGCAAGGAGGTATGCGTGGTGAGGAGTTCCTTGAGGTAGGGAGGGGCAGTTCCATGGACACACTGGTGGGTGAGGACGGAGACCTTGAATTCGATCCTCAGTTCCACGGGGAGCCAGTGTAGTGCTTTAAGGATGGGGGTGATGTGATCATATTTGCGCACCCTCATCAGGATCCTAGCAGCGCTGTTCTGTATGTACTGGAGCTTCTGGATGCTTTTGTTAGGGATCCCGATGAGGAGTGCATTGCAGTAGTCCAGCCTGGAGGAGACAAAGGCGTGGACCAGCTTTTCGGCGTCAGACAGAGTGAGTGTGGGGCGGAGTTTGGCGATGTTCCTGAGGTGATAAAAGGAGTTCTTGCACAGCTGTTTAATGTGGGCCTCAAAGGTCAGATGGGCGTCCATTTTAACACCCAGGTTGGTGACTATTGAGGAGAGGGTAATGTCCTGGCCGGAGAAGGTGATGGTGGTGATGGTGGATGACCGAACCTGGTGTGGGGTGCCAACTATAATGGCTTCGGTCTTGGAGCTGTTGAGTTTCAGGAAGTTTTGCTTCATCCACGCCTGTATCTCCTCCAGGCAGGCAGTGAGTGTGGGTGAAGGCAGGACTACAGAGGAGGTAGGGTTGATCCTGAGGTACAGTTGGGTGTCATCAGCGTAACAATGAAATGATACTCCATGTCGGCTGATGATAGAGCCAAGGGGGAGCATGTAGAGTGTGAAGAGGGTGGGGCCGAGAACTGATCCTTGAGGGACACCACAGGTGACATTGTGGGTACCCGACTCTGCCTCGCCCAAGGACACGTACTCTGTTCTCCCGGTGAGGTATGATCTGAACCAGTCAAGGGGAGAGTCAGAGAGTGTAGGCTGTCAAAGCTGCATTTGTGTCCTCTGTAAGCAGGGGGTGTTTGTGATCACTCTGTTTGACTGTAGCAGGGAAGCATGCGTTTCACAACAAGGCTCTGCCACTGAAACCCACACTAATGCAGCTTGTGTTGACACTGAGAATTTAAAATACCTTCAGTAAAGTGCAGCTCAGATTCTTGAGTGAAAAAGCCTTCAGTACTTTTCCAGGAGGCAAGAAATATGTTGATGTGTCCGCAGAAGAAACCTTTGCTGCCTGTGTTGGAAGAAGCATTCAGATCCTGAAATACTCAAGTAAAACTCCCGCCTACAAAACATTACTACAGTAAAGGTGTTTAGTTGGCTGTGGATGTTAAGGTTGAATAACTTGGGTCTCCTTCATACACCATTTGGTAGTATAATGCATAACACAGCAATGCATAATAATCTAGATGATCACTTGTCTAAGCTTTGAAAACGCATAAAAAAGCTGAAAATGGCTATTTTCACACTAATAAATGATTGAATAATTGTTTTGTCTATAAAATGTCAAAGAGTCTCAGAGTCCAAGGTGGAGTCTTTAAAAGTTGTCAGTCCAAAATCAAAAGATATTTACTTTAAAATGATTTTAAAATACAAGCAGGCAGTTATTTTATAAACTGCATTTACCACCCTTATCCATTGGTTGCCTTGTTGCTCTAAAATCTTTTGTATTCTATAGGACCTTTTTGAATTCATTGTCAGGCTAATGTTATAAGTTTACCCTCCACAGACAGACCGTACTTTATACTTTTATGGGCCCCACAATGCCCCTTGTGTTGCTGCCTCACAGCAAGGGTTGGGTCACGTAGGGTTGTGCAATTGCAACCGATCACTGGTGCTTTGTCCCCTCACAATGACTGGGATGCATCTTGCACAAGATCATGTGCTTCTGTCATTTAACTACTGTAACCATGTGACCCTCTTCAATTGTTTGTGCTTGAATGACATGCCTGTTAAAACCTTTGCAATCAACATGTTACACAGTATAACAATAGCTTACTTAAGCCTCAAACTGTGCATTTAAAAAAGGAGACTGAAAAAGGTCACAAGCCCAAATGTCCCACACAAGTGTCACAATGTTTAGTTTATCTGAATCTCATTTACCCGACAGATCACTATGGAGACCCCGCCATTACAGAGAGAGAAATGTCACACACGCAGCTGATGTGCTTATGTAACAAACTGCTGCCGACAACAAACACGGTTTTCAAAAGGCCCTGCAGGAGCAGAGGGATCAATACAAATACAATATTAATGATGATAAGTGTCAGGACTCAAAATCAAACAAATGGTGCCAGGAGTATTGAAACATCCCAGAATCTGTAGATGGAAATGTTTGCAGAGACACTTTTACGGATAAAAAAGGATCTGAAAAAGTTTGCTAGTTTTCCCTGTGAAGCTGAAATTTATTTTGTCATACCAGGACAACATTGTCTCAATTTAGAAAGCCTGCATTGCACCACTGTTGCCTACCAAACTCCAGAACATGCACAGTAACATCAATACAAATTGCATAAAGTATAGGAAAATAAGGTTTACACGTTTAATGTCTATTAAACAGTTTCCTTCAACAGGAGGTTCAATTGGCATTTTAAAAAAACACTATAGGGAATTCATCAAATATCTCAAATTACAAAATGGACCTTAAGTAACTGCTTTGCACAGGTTAAAGAATCAACACATCAAAGAAGCTTTCACGTTTGGGTGAACAATCCTTTTAATAATCTATAAAGGCAGTGCATTGAAAGGAAATGTTTCAGAAAGGGGTATAAAAATAAAAATTCAATAAAACGTTTACACTAAACACACACACAGCTCCAAGTGAAACAAAAAGTGCATTTCTCTGACATTTAAGGCATCCACATAACCGTAGTGCGAGAAGCCCACACCATGACAGCAGCATCTTCACAAGACGATCAGTCCTAAAAACATCCGCAGCCATAAATACAGCATTACACAACAAGCTACATACAGTATGGCCCCCAAAGACTTCACTTCGGTCTCCTATTCATCGTGCCCAGGTGCGTTTACAGCTGCTGAACATACTCAGTGTATCTGGAAACACACAGACCGTCAACAAAGTGGCTAGTGTCTTGATCTAAAGTGTATCAACTATAGTGTATTGTACAAAAACACTAGAAAATATGACACCAATGGAGTGTCATTTACATTTGGGCAGAAGTGCTTTTACCTACAGGAAACCCAATATATATATATATATATATATATATATATATATATATATATATATAGTTCAGCACTCCTCTACAATGGTGCCAGCCGAGGAGGAGTACAGTTTTTTCTTGACGAGCCGAAAACCTGAACTCAGTTTGAGTACGTGTCTGAAAGTCGGGGCAAAGCAGGTTCCCATGAACAGGAAGTCCCGCAGGCTGGGCCAGGCGGTGCCGTCCTGCTTGAACACAAGAGTCAGCTCAAAGGTGGGCACCACGGTGGCATCGTACACGATTCGCTCCAGCCGCTTGCAGCCCTTCTCCATGTCCAGGTGGACGTAGAGGACGCACCCCCGCAGGCCGCAGGGCTCGCAGGCCGCCAGCCGCAGCACCTCCCCAGCGATCCTCTGCGTCAGCTTCTCTGGTACCAGCACAGAGGAGCAGTGCAGGGTCGTCTTCTTGGCTCGGGACAGGCAGTTTTCAAACATTTTGGCCAGCTGTTGACAGGTTCTGTCTTCAGTGACTTCTCCATTCCTCTGGGGTTCAGCCAGGCAGTGATCCCAGAAGTCCAGTTCTAGGAGAACACCACAAGTTGAACAGTTAGGGACCAATGACAATGTCTTATTTAAGATAAACATGCAGGTAAATAAATGGCTTTTTTCAAGATCCCATCATGCACAAATGTAATTAGTCAAACCACAAACCACTATTTTAATAATCGATTAGTCAGTCTTTTGCACAAATGAAAGAAATGTTGTGCATCTCAAAAATTGGAGCTATCACTCTTTTTCTCTCTCCATTTTATCATATTAAACTGGATATTTTTGGGTTTTGGACTGACAAAAGATCATTTATAACATTTTGTAAACCAATTTTAAGAGACCAAATAAATAAATAATGATGGAAATTATGTAAATGATCAATAATGAAAAAAAAACATTAATCTGCAGCCCTAGTTATTTTCTTCTAACAAAACAAATATGGATTGTCGGATTTAATCTGATTTTGCATCCCCTCAATTTGAGTGTGTGTTTATGATGCAACACTCACAAAAGAAAAAGGATTAACAGTCAGACTGCTGCTAATCTGTTCAAAGTTATAAGACATGCATCACAGCAGTCACCATATAGAAACGGCAATAAAATAATTTAGCTTTTGACAGAAAAATTAGGTTTAATTTGATTTTTTCCCCAGGTTGTTGTTGTAAAAGAGAGGCTGAAGGGATGACTTCATCCTCCCCTCCTCACCCCTCCCCTCGCTGCTGCAGCCATGCGCCACACACAGGGGTAAACAAGCACCCTGCTAGAAGAATCCAGACACTAGCATACACAAAAAACACAGAAAAAAAGCTTACCTTTATCAATGCAAGCCTGGTCATATCTTCTCCCCACCAATTCTGAGATACAGTCGCTGCTTTTGGTCTTTAACGTGCTTGTGGCGACCATGGCGACAGTGTGCTGTTTTCCTGTGAAAATGTAGGAGTAGCAGCGTCAGTTTAACAGTGGAAGCAGGTTGTTTTAGCTCATCAATTCACAGCTGGCTCATTTAGCAAGAAACAATAACATGTGAACGCTTTTAACTTTCAAAATGTAACGTTAGCCATTAAGAAGACAACTTACCGCCCCCGCTAACACCAGTTAACTACTTTAGCATTACATTTCGAGCTAACCGTTCATTTTCAAGAAAATTACATGACTTACCTTAAATATTATTTAGTGCAAAAATAATTTAGTTCAGAAGGTTTCTCATACATAAATTCACAAGCAGTGTTACCCCCACATTAACACAAAAACACAGACCCACATTAACACTGAAGCGGACAAAACTTCTGAGGAATACTTATACCTTACTGCCAGTCAGCTGACCGAGGGTTGGACCAATCACAGCGCGCCCCTCGACGTAAAGGCATCTCTTCTCTGATTGGCGGAAAAATCTCATTTCAATAAATTAACTGTTGATTGTCCAATTCATGGGGGATATAGTTGTTTTTAGGGAAAACGATAGATGCACGTTTTGAAGTATAAACCAATAACATATGAATATTTTTTATTAGATGTATATTTAGAAATTAGATTGAAAAAAGTGTGTTTGTTCTGAAGGATGAAGAATCTAATTTGAATAACAATAAGGCTATCAGGACACTACATATCTGTTTGTTTAATGCTATTTGTGTCTAGTGTAGCCTATACCCCTGGCCACAAAGATTATTAGACCTTTGATTCTGAAGAATTGAGGCCAAAGAAAATGTTTAAACTTGTTGTGTCTCTCTATTTAGTTCAAAGACCTATGATGCACAAAGAGTTCATATTATTTTTATGTTTTAATTGTAGGAGAGGAAAATCGACATTTTCATTATGGCTGCATATCAGCAGTATTCACACATTGAAACCTGGTACTATCTTGAAATGAGAGGTTGAAGCATGAACAGTTTAGAGTTTGAACCCTCTGAATCTAAAAGGGCACAGAGCTCTGCAGCAAACTGAAGCATACTTACTTGTTGAAAAAAGACTCCAAAACTCAGATAATGACAGGCATGCAATAACGTATGTAAAGAAAGTCCAAAATGTACACATGCAGACAGTTTTACAGGAGGGAGCAGCTCTAAGAGCCCCCCTGTAATCTTACTGTGTGTGTATACGTGTATGTGTCTTTGTACATTTGGCAGGTAACAGTGAGCACAGTTGTTCAGCCCATCAGGAGTTTATCCCTCATCATACTCTGTCTCAACAGAAATGTCCCCACAGTAACTGGATCTGCAGCTCTCAGACCAGCTGCTCTGCTGCTGGCTAAAGTAATGGAAATGTGGACTAGAGAGAGGGAGGGTGGGAGGTCACATGGGGAGAACTAGATATGCCTCAGAAGAAGTCACATGCTTTAGCTAGTGTTACTGCCTTTGTGCATGCAGGCCTACACAGTAAAGTGCTGCATAAGCAAAGCTTTGTTTAAGTTATCTGTAGGCTTTGATATTAGCAGGGGATAAATAGGAGCATTCATGTTGTTTGACACATTTATCATTCTGTGGGAATCTAAGCAGGTTTTAATGTAAACATATTCATTTATCGTAAGAATTTATTTGTGAAAAACTGTGTAAATATGAAAAATGAAAAAGTTACCTGGAATATATTGTCATGATTTGTCATCCCCTTTTCTTGTTACAGGTGCTTTCTTGTTTGTTTATTTATTATTTTTCCCATGTTTGATGATTTATTTTGCTAAGTGCTTGCATATTTGTAAAAATACATGAAAAAGTAATAATGAGAAATGTCTACGGTGTTAAAAATCTAAAAACGAATTGTGTAAGAAATAATACAATAACTGTGTTTGCTATTTGATCATACATCAGCAGTAGGGGAGACCAGGGATAGTTGCAACACTTTTTGGGTTTTTCCCCAATAAGTAAAAAACCATTTACAATAGGATAGCCATTTTGCTATATTATACATTATCAATATGTCAGCTACTGAAACAATGTATTTAAGATGTTTTTATGAAATAAGTACAGGTTGGAAAATGTATTTAAAAAAAAAAACTCAACTGTTACAACTGTCCTTGTGTACAGGGACAGTTGTAGTACATGCCAGGCACGGTTGTAACATGTTAATAACGGTTACCTTTTTTCACACTACATGACAAAAAATAGGGAAAGCAGTCAAATTCTAAGGCAACAAGATTTTAATGGGGTTTCACACATCCTCCAACAAACAATGAACAATTAACAGAACTTGAACAGAACTTAAAACAGAACACCAGAATTAATCAGATTCACAGTTGTGGCAGGTGTAAAAGGCACTTCCATCTGTGCAGTCCTTGTGTGCCCAGGCTTTACAGGAGCAACACTGCAGCCAGATCTCCTTGGACCTGGAGTAGCTCTCCAGGCACACAATGCAGTATTGGGCCTCATCTTCATCAGCTGAGTCCTGTATCTTCTGCTTCTTGTTGGGTTTGTCTGACTCTCCAACCTCAGCCTCTTCTTATGGAACCGGTACAGGGTGACATGGCATATATCCAGGGACTTTGCCACTTCCCTGAATGATTTGCCCTCCTGAACTTAATTTGAGCCCATCTGCAGCAGAGCAAGTGGCACTCCCCTGTCTGTCTTCCTCTTTCTGACATTTGGCATACTGTAAACACACACACACACTTTAGGCCTACTGTACAGTATTTTATTCTGTTTATTTTTACAGGGACAATGCACACCAATCAACAATACAACTGTATGCTTGAATGAACAATTGATAATTCAAGCAAATGAGCCATCATTGTAAATGTGCCATGTTACAACCGTCCCGTTACAACCATCCCAGGACCACCAGTCTTGCTTTCACCCCTGTGAACCTGCCTGATTGCTAGCTTGACCCATATTTAGCTAGTTATATTTGTAGCTTACAAAACAGTGATTCTAATAATACTAGTTTGGATTCCTAGACATTTGAACTCAAGACAGTATCCAAAAAATACATCATATCATTTTAGTTAATATTTTACCTCAGAAACACACTTTTGCCGATATCTTACGCGAGAAATTCAAACGTGGCTCCGTTTTTTCTCAGCGATCTCACCATCTAACTGCGCATGTGCAGAGTGAGTGTCATCACTCTAGCTTGTTTGTGATTGGAGATATTGAAGGTGTTACAACCAACCCGTGTTCCAACTGTCCCTGGTCTCTAATCTGAGAACACAGTTACAAAATGCACAGCATCAGCTCTTATTGTCACATGGTTTTAATGAGGTTTTGACCTAAATGTATGTTGAACATACAAGGTCAATACAGTCGCTGAGAAAGCTTAACTTAACACGCAGGAAAAGACTTGAGTATTTAAAAAAGATCTTTGGTCAGTGAAGTAAAGTTGCGAACATTTTGAAACCTATACAAATTAAGAAAAACACAAAGAAATGTACTTTTAATATTACAGTTTTGAAGACTTTCTGCTATCAAACCATCAATTTTTATGTGATTTAGTAAGTGCACAGAATACCAAACGTTCAAATTCTGATAGCTCGGAGCTCAGGACCCATATTGCATTTTTCTGACTGTCCACACAGCTGAAACAGAGTTCAGAGTGTATCCTTCATGATCTTTGAACTCGTGAAATAATATTGCATCACAGCGCTCAGGAGACATAATGTGTTAACAGCGACTGTCAGATCCATCGACTCGTTGGTGTCAGTGCTTAAGATGTTTCCCATGCCTCTTTGTCACATTCTGCATCTATTTTAACTTTGCTTTTAAAGCCCCTTCTGGCTGTTGCGGCTCTGCTCCTGTCACACTGGCTGTATCTCAGCTGGATTTGAATAAAAGAAAATGAAATACTTGTCATGACTATAGTATTTCAAGGAGCTGGCAAGTAATGTGAAGCACCTCTGCATATGACCTTCACTCCTGTGTTGGCACGGAGACACAACTAAACTCTGCTTGTGAATTTCTCACATGTGCCAACTCATGTTTCTCTTATTGAGGCATAGAGATGTAGCCTCCTGTTTCAGGTTACTGATCTCTCCATGAACCTTCTGTTAGCCCCGTCAAGTCGCTCGGTGTCAGTATGCCAGGCTGGCACCACTCTCCCTTCAGTGAAAACTCCCTTTTGCTGAGTTGCTAATCTGGTTGTTTGTACAAGAGTATCCTACGTGCGTATCAGAGCCTTGCACAAGTAAAAAAGTTGGAAATGAAGTTGGAAAAAAGTAATGTAATATATTTGTATTTATTAGAGCCAGCACACGCACAAATCCCTTCTTCATAATTGATCATAATGGATCCTAAATTGCAAAATGGTGCATCTACTGTTACTTGATGTATGTTAACGTCTCTACAAAAACCCTGCTTATGTGCTTTAATGGAGCTTTGGTGCAATGATATCTTACATTAGGAATCATTTGACTTTCTATATGTAAGTGGTAGTTGAACAAATGTGTTCTTTTGGCACAATGTAGCAGCATTATGCAGAAGAATGACTGAAGGCCACCTGACGCCAGTGTTTTTAAACACAAGGGCACTACTGAGAGACAGTCTTCTCTGACAATACTTTTAAAAAATATAACAAAAGAGAAAACTGGGGATACGCAGTAGCTTAACCATAATGCAAATGTTTCCTTTGGTTGTGTATGAATCTTGTAGATTTCCTGAATTGTAGTCATGTTAATGTTTTCATCTGTTGGCTATGTTTTGCTGTGCTGCAGATATTACAGATTTAGAGATATATTATGTGGAAATCACTTCGCACAGTACTTTCAAATCGATAACACTGTTTGCTAAGGAAAATATGCAGCTCAGCAAGGCTCTTGACAGAAAAAGGCACTTGATTGAAATTAATTCCAATATTAATCTTTCATTTTCAGACACTTAGATCCACTTTATAGTTGAAAGACGAGTCGATATCTGACTTTAAAGGGGAGACTAAACAGCGTGGAGTGAAGCTGAAGGAGAGAGGCCTGGCATGAGTGTATCCTGTCCCTGCCACAGCTGTGTGTGATGGGCCGGTGCCCACCTGCCAAAGTCTCTGTCTCTGGGAAATGTGCCCACAGTGGGAGCTGTCGGCCAGTCTCAGCTTACAAAGGCCACAGTCCTTATCACCCTGTGTGGAATCGATTCACAATGTGGGTCATACCTACAAAATGGCAGAAGTCAATTGAATTTATACCGTGGCATTTAATTAGTTGCATGAAAAATCACCATGTCCAGATGTGGTTTAGAGCCTATCTGTTATCCCTGGGTTATGAAGATCAAGCAGAGGGAGATTTTAACACCGGTTACCTACATCTCACTCCTCTGTCAACTCCCACAAGAGACAGGGGCAGAAACATGGAGGCTCTTCGTGTTGAGTGTCGGCCCCCTCTGGTGGAAAGTCACTGAAAGGACAATGGTGGTCCGCAGAGCCAAGTCACAAGCCTCAAGTCTTAAAGTGGACCTATCATGCTATATTTGAATAATATAGTGTAGGACCATACCTATATAAGGCATATTTATACTTTTTTTTTTTCAAAATACCAAACAGATCATGCATTTTAGCCATGCCTCATTTTGCTCAATTTGACATTTTTTAGCTCTGTTTTTGCAAGGGCAGATTCTGTGAGAACAGCACCATCTAGAGGCCTGGCATATGTACTACAGCGTCTCCAGCGCTTTCGAACGGCAATGGCCATGGCTGTCTCCTCCTGATTGGTGGAGTTGGCCCAATAGCCGTAGCGCCACCGTCCTGACGTCAGGACAGTGTTCAAATCTGGATCAGTTTTTATCAGATCCGTTGCAGCCCCTTTTTTAGAGATTTGGGTATGGAGGAAAATAGAGAGGGTTGTGTTTTCTGACACTTGGTGAGTTCCCTGGAACACCGGGGACACATATTCATGTATAAAAGACGTACAAAAGTGCATTTTGCATGATAGGTCCCCTTTAACATTCAGGTCTCAAGTGTGGGAGTCAAAAAAGTCACGGCGAGGCCCCTGCTGTAAGTCAAGGTTAAGTTATCTGATTATCTACCTCCATTAACTTAACTACTTTTATAATGCTGCTACTTATTCATACGTGTAGCTATTTGATTTTTTTTAACATGTGCTTTCCTCTTTATTAAATATGTCTACTCCTTTTATCTTTTAATCGTCCAAGCCTTTTATCCGTACGTTGTCACTTGCTGAAACAATGTACATTTCACCGCTGTTGGACAATTAAAGGGTTTCTGATTGTAAATTGCATGGAGGCAGCTACGTCACTTTACTGCCACATACAGGTCAAAGAATACAGCTACTGAAGATAGCTTATTCAAGTTCATCATATCTTATTAACAGTGAGATCCAGATAGGAAGCGTTGGGAGGGAGGGTCTTAAAGCTCCCATGTCATGCTTTTCCGGTTATTACCCGTCCCCTTGTGTGTTATGAAGGTTTTTATGCATGTAAACGGTGTGCAGAGTCAAAACCCTCAAAGTACACCCTGTAGCGAGTAAAACTCTAACACAGAAAATACCTCCCCAAAACGCCTCGTTGGAGATACGTCACTGCCCATTTGATTCTTCCGGGTACCGCCTGATGTCATGCGGTACCCGGAACGAAATGGACCAATCCCGAAGAGCTATGGCCACACCAGCAGCGGCGTGTTCCTCCTCCAGAGGTTCGAAGAACCGGCATTTCACAGACGAAAGCTTCCAAAACATTGCCCAGTTTGAGGCCGGATATGCACAGCTTGTTTGGACCGTTTGGAGCAGGGGAAGATCTGGGTATACAACCTGTAAGTTTGCATTGTTATTTGTGTATTTATCAAACAAGACTGTTTAAATGTGTAAACTGTGTTGGACTGCTAAGCCATTGACACAGTGCTAACTGTGCTAACTAAGTTGCTAGAGTTTCCATATATCAACTCTAATATCAGCAGATGGCCTTGCATACATGTATCTCATAGCAGGAGAATGTCTGCATTCACACACACGGAATACTCATACAGTATACTGTACTGTGATTTACCGTACATTGTGACCGTACATATACTGCATGTAGCTAACGAGGCTAGCTGTATGCTAGCGCAAAACAATGTATTCATGCAAGTTACATTGTATGGTAGCAGAATACCCGTATACGATTGCAATTATAAACACGTTATTGCTAGCCTAATATGAACCACTAGCTTTTGTTCATAGTAGTTTTATTACACTGCATTATAGTTGCCTTTCCTCCAAGCTAACGTTCATATCGTGTTAGCTACCAAGGTAAACAAAGCTAGGTTAGCATATTAGCAGGCAAGCTGTTCATTACACAACTACTACTAACGAATCTAAAACAACTAAGTTTCTCTAATATTTTGTGATTTGCATTTGATTTCGTCCAGCCAGATCCTGGCGGACAATCCATGACGTGCTAAAAGGCACTTCTACTACTACTGAGGCGTCGTGCTAAAAGGCACCGCACCGACTGTGCTGCCTGCGAGGAGGAGGAATGGATGATATACCGTGTATATATGTATATTTATGTTCATTTTGTACATTTCTAAAAATAAAGTTTAATGGAAATACTTAGTAGGCCTATCCTTTCTTCCCTGAATTCATATATAGCAAACCATGATTTGATTTCTCATCAAACAGTAGTAGTTTATAACGGGTAAAAATAACTTACTCTTTGTTATGAGCGGCTCGTAGGCCACAAAGACAAGGAGACATACACGAGTTTACAAAACCACGGCACATTTATTGTGGTAAATGCAGAGATGGTTGAGAGGATCGCAGAGTTAGTCTTCCTGCAGCCGCTTTGGAGAGAGACTGGGGCCGTAGTGTCCGGAGGTGTCCGTGATCGTGCTGATTAGCCTCTTCAGCTCCACCCCATCGTAAGACAAAGGCCCTGGGGCCGTCACACTCTTCTATAACAACAGTTAAAAATATATATGTATATAAAATATACGGCTGTGCCGACGCCATGATAAGACTGATGTTACGCTGAGAGCAGCCGGGAAAAGACATTTTCAAGGCAAAAGACAAGGCACTGTTAGACATGGGCGCAGCCTCTCTGGTGGTTGACTAATCAGAACGAGTGGCCGAGCTGACCAATCGGAGCACACTAGGCTCACAGGGAGGGGGGGGGGCAAGAGCTCCAACGAGTCGTTTAGTGGAGAAAGTGAATACTGCTGAATACACATGCTTGACAGAGATGCTGTATGCGAAACCAATGTGAGTTTGGAAAATTGCACAGTATAAATCTATTTTAGTATACCTCAACAATGTAATTATGATCAGTGGAAATGGCCATGACATGGGCCCTTTAAGTCTTTTAAGTGACAGGAACTTGGTGACAGGAAGCTGGCAGGCTACCCCTATCTGATCCTCTACCTGCAGGAAAACATGATAGGATGCACTTTCAAAGCATTGCATTTCATATCTGGAAGCTACAAACCTTTCTCTTGTGATTTATTGAGAAAATGAGAGCAACATATTCCAGCCAAAAAGCATTTCCAGTGTCTTTGTATACAACCCGTCTTTATATTTACCGACAAAAAAACCGCAAATCACCATCAGTACAAATCCTTCTGACAGCTGTGTACTTTAAAAAGCTTTCAGTAGAAAAAACTGGTGCAATATTTAACATTTTAACTGATACATGAAAAGCAAAAATGAGCACCTAAAAAGAGCTTGTGACACAAAACACATAATATCCTATAAAGCAGTTCAAGGCACATACGTGATAAGCAACAACCAAAGGGTAATTATAAAACGATGAAATTAACAGATTAATTACATCAAACATATGATGATCTGAGGTCAGTGCACTGTACAGGAAGGTGTTTTGTGACAAACATGTAGACAGAGATCTGCAGCTGTATTTGTCTTTGTCAACAGTATACTGAAATAAAGGGTGCTTTTATTTCTGTTCCACAGGCTGACAGTATTTAGCCTATAGGTTATCAATATAAAGATTTACTGAATAAAATATATTGTAATTGAAAATAGGTTCACTTACTCTGAGATTTATCAACACACCCTGATTTCAGCATACAGAATCATACATACTTTTTGCATGTTTTCACAAAATCACGAGAAAATTCAAAGAAATCAAACAGTTCTTCCAGATCCTCATTGTGTGGGTGACAGGTGTGAGGCACACACTGTTCTTGATGTCCTCCTTTTTTTATCTGGCAGCAGCTGAAACATACACAACAACAGAAGAAAGGGATGAAACAACAGCAGGATAAAACCGCATCTGTGTGATCAAACTCCTCCAACTCCAAAAATTATGAAAAACATGTGCATTTGTGTCAATCCAACACTAGGAGGCGGTGCTGCATTGACTGGAAGCACATTGATGACTTTATTTACAATGAAAATAAAAACCTCATGTTCCCCTAGACAGGTGTCTCTGTGTAAATGCTATAAAACTGTGACCCGAAATAAAGAATAATACAAAAAAGAACATAAAAATGTAAATGATAGGTACTTTTTCGATTTAAATATATTGTAAAGCAGGTCAAGTTTTTAAAAAGTAAATGTGAATTGCCAACATTTACAGTTTTAAAAAAACCCGGCATTTAATGTTTTATTGTGACGTAAAAATGGCTGTTAATTTCTACTAAAAAACAACAACTTATAAAACAATCCTACTTGTTCCCGCTATCTGACTCAAAACGTTATCTTACATTTTTCTGAAGCCAAACTGTACATCATTAAATAATTATATTACATTAAAGTTAGGACAGTTAGGGTAGAGATACTGTTTTTAAGTCAGTAAAAAAGCAGTTTTGGGAATGAGCTTGGAGCGTGGGATTGTGAGGTGTTTATCTGTGTGCAGCGCGGTATATGAGTAACAAGTTCTGCAGTCAGATAAGAGTTTATAAAGCTAAAGAATCCAGTAATCTGTAGCAACATAAACACCGTCTTCCTCAGCGAAATTCCTAAAGCATGACTCTATTTCCTTCCGAAGCCCAAAGTCATCCTGGCCTGATTTTTTTAGGGAAGGAAGATAGGACAATTCGTGTCTAGATGTTCTATTATTTTCACGGTTGGGGTGAAGGGGTAGTGAGTGTGTCTATAAACCACAGATGACACGTATGAGGACCACCCCACTAACAGACACACACACACGCCCGCAGAATCTGGGCCACTCTGACATTTACCGAACGCACAATAGCTCCTGTCCAAAATAATCTGTGTTTATGTTAGGAAGTCCCTATCTTTCAGGCCCTGCTGCTTGTTCGAGGGCGGGGGCGCGAAATCACAGGAAACACCTTCTGTTGCCCAGCTAAGCCCCACAAGCCAATGCAGTACAATAAGATATTAAAAGCCTGTAACTTCCCTGAACGTCTGGAGGAACGGCTTCACCAAGTGATGGAAGAATGGACAAACAAAATGAACTCTCGCAGGACATAGACGGAAGCAGCTCACCATTCTCGGCCCCGCCTGATGACTTTACTCCGAGGAGCATGACTCCATCTTTGGTGCTTTCCGGCCTGCTCTGGAAAGATGCGCTGTGGGGAGACAAAGGGATGGATGTTTTTTAACTTTTCAAATGCCCTTGCAAATAGAGTACATAATTATATATTTAAATAAAGTATTTAACTCACTTCTCAGTTCCAGTATCAATAGTTTCTGTGGAAGAGAAGACAGGAAAATACGTTAACAAACCCAAATAGTATTCAATATAAAAAATATCTTGCAATAAGTTGAATAATGTATGAATATAGGAACCTTTGTTTACATATAATTTGTTTAAGTTAGTCTATCACAGAGTTCACTGTTTGTCCCTGTCGCCTAAAAAAAGACTCATCCCATAGTTAACCTAATAATGGTTTGGGTTTAAATAGTCATGTTTGTAACTTAAGTTAATGTTCAGTGTTTTATGGAAAGTTTTAGACTGGTGTGATACGTGTTGTACTCTCACCTGTGTGACCGTGGATCTTCTTGCATTGGAACTTGAGGAGGATGAAAGCAGCAGCTGCGACCAGCAGGACGGGCAGCACGATCCACCACAGCCTCTTGTCTGAGGGGGAAAGATACGATCATCAACATCAATCTGATTTGAACATCTGAACAAATGGCAGACCATTTTTTCAATTGCTTCCCTTCTGAAACTTGTTTTTTTGCATATCTTTTGGCACAGTGTGTGGGGTATGACTTGGTATGAGTTAGGTAAGATGTGAGTACAGTACATTACCTGATTTTGTGGGTTCTTCAGGAAGATCTTTGCCAGTTTGAGAACCTATCAAAACAATGTGTATTTGAAGAAAAATAGTTGAGTTTTTGACAGGACTTCATATATTCATGGCTTCATTATGCAGTATGTTAGTACATTTAACTTACCTGCATCTTGACTTGTTTCATTTTGATGTCCTGGAATCATTGGAGTAGTGTTTTGTACTATGGGATTGAAATTATGGAATTCATTATTTTAATAAAGCTATTCAAACACTAGTCAAGCAAGAAGAAGAAGAAGAAGAACAACAACAACAATACCAACAAAGACAACAACAAGTGATGTTATTTTGTTATAAGATAAGATAAGATAAGATAAGATAGTACTTTATTGATCCCAATTTGGGAAATTGTTTGTTTTTTCAGTGCTTTCACATTTAAATACTGATTAAAAACAGTTTTCATATAAAAAAATGAACCCAGCATTGTCACACCAGAATTGTTGTAATAATTGATATAATTATATTTATAATATCATGTATTAAGGTTTACAACATTTACTCATTTATCTGAATTCTAAAGAGCTGGCTCATTACTGATGAAGTCTGTTCCGAATTTCTTCTCACCTGGATTCCCAATGGTCTTGTTATCAAGGGGGTTTACTGGGGTAGGCTTGTGAGGGTTTTCTGTCACAAATAGAAAAAATAATTCATTTAAATACACATTTCGGACAAGATCCTACTGGATGTAAGGCACTTTTCTCTTCAAGGTCAACTTTGCAAAAGCACATTCTTTGGGATGCAAACAGAATTCATTTATATAAACTGATTTAGAGCTCAATATTATACCAAAACCCTTTCAAAAATAGAAACACAAACAAAGAAAAACGTACTTTCAGCTTCAGTCCCGTTGACATGGACAGCAGGACTGGTGTTCACCTTCTTGTCTGTAGATGTTGCTGTAGGTGTAGCAGTCTTATGTGCTTGGGTCATATCCTTGGCTTTACCATGGACAAAAGAGAAAAAGAGAAATTAAAGACCGTCTTCCATTTATTTATCGTCTTAAGATATATGCACACTCACTCTCATCAGGACTTATGGTGGTGGCATCATTAGGGCCAGTGGTAGATACAGGGGTTGGTGTTGCTGGGGGGGTTGCTGCTGCTGCTGCTGCTGTTGGTGATGCTGCTGGTGGTGCTGGTGATGCTGTTGTTGTTGCTGCTGCTGGTGGTGATGCTGTTGTTGCTGCTGGTGGTGCTGGTGATGCTGTTGTTGCTGCTGATGCTGTTGGTGATGCTGCTGTTGCTGCTGGTGGTGCTGGTGATGCTGTTGTTGTTGCTGCTGCTGGTGGTGATGCTGTTGTTGGTGCTGTTGTTGTTGCTGTTGTTGTTGCTGTTGTTGTTGTTGTTGTTGTTGTTGTTGCTGTTGTTGTTGCTGTTGTTGGTGCTTTGATTGTAGCTGGTAGAGGTGCACTTGTGACTTCTTTTGCGGCTGTTAATATGCAAAAGAGAGATGGATTTGGCATATGAAAGATTGCACAAGATATTCAGAAAACTCAAGGAAAGAAAAGATGCACGAAAGTCAAATTGCAATTAGCTTTACAAGTCAAAAAACTACTTTATTTTTGGCGGAAAGTTGGATGAGAAGATCAATAACATTTAGCACATGTCCGTTAAATGTAATGCCAGTTAGCTTAGCTTAGCAAAAAGACAGGAAGTGGGGAAACAGCTAGACCGAGTCTGACCACAGGTAAGAACAACCACCAACCAACAAGCAAACTATTTAACATGTTAAATATTAAAGGTTATACTGGTTTTTTCTGTCCCCCAATAAATGCAGTTGCCAGCCAACTAGAAACGTGTAGAAGTTACTGCCCCTGACTAAGAAATTGTCCAGTAAACCCTGCAAAATGGCCCATTTTAATTGATACATTATGTCTTTTGTACAAATGAAAACACATGTAAATAATCAACCAAGTCTCACGGCAATTCATGTTATAGTCACGAAATTAATTTAATCTATTGATTCGTGTCACACAGAACGATTTTAAAAGCAATGCATTTCTATTGGTAGTATGTTTCGTGCCTGCACCACGTCTTTTTGTCCAGTCGGGTCTTGGAAGACCGGAAGCTGTGTGGTTCATAAAAACATTTTCTTACTCAATATCTTACCCTAAGCCTAACCCTTTTATTTTAAATAGTATAATGTCGGAGTGTTTTTGCCGTACATGAGGAAAAGAAATGGGGCTCAGAGCCTCAGAATACTGAAATCTGTATTTTTTTAAATATTTTTTTCCTTCTAATTTGTTATTATTTGGTGCAGGCACGAAACATACTAACAATATAAATACATTGCTTCACCCCTGCTGATGAAACTGTAAAGAAGAAACACAACTTATTTATTTATTCAGTGACCAAAAGCTATTGTCCAGCATGGTGGCTATGATTTATATGCTGACTGTCTGGGGTCAGAGCGGGATAATAAAATATAATGTGCTATCTAGGAATTCACAATACTCCATTTCGTACTGTAGGCATCAGAATCAGTTTGTCTACGCAAAACATTTCCTCAGACAGATTCTCTATTTTAAGTTCACGGTTGCATATTTGCATCATTCCTGTTTGGCAAGGCTTTAAAGCCCGGCGTCTGAGACAAAGGCGTGCCAGCTTCAAGTGTCAGAGTAGAAGTCAGCGGTGGAGGTCGTGGAGTGTTGAGGTGGATATCCTCTGCTTGAAGCCCTGCAGCAGTGTGAAGCTGCATCCTGTCCCATACATACTATTGGCATCCTCTGACCTCAGCAGCCAAGCATCCTGTCTTCATTGCTGTCAGTTAGGACCCCTCTCAACATATTTCTCACCAGAGCACTCACTGAAGCCAAGTCAACTCCTCAAATCTCTATGTCATTGAAGTTATTTTGGGATAAGTCCAAGGGAAGTTCCAGTCCTCTTAAAACAAGTGTCCAAGTTTCACATATTCGTCTACCTATTTGAGACAAAGTGATACTTCAAGTATTTTGTATCAGGTGTCAAGTAAAGTCTCAATTCTGTTGGTATTTTGGAGCAAGTCTCAACACCTCAAAGTCGTTTGAGACAAGTCCAAGTCAAACCTTTGTAGTTTTTTTGGATCATATGTCAATTATCAATTTTCAAGTGGTGAAGTTGTATGCCATTATAGACAAGTATCAACCATTTGGAGTCAAGAAAAGTCAAGAAAAGTCCTTTAAGTGGAGTCTCAAGTTAGGTCTCCAGTATTTTGGAGCCTGTCTTAGGTGTTAAATCCTTTACGAAATTTGACTTGTAGCAAATCTTAAATCAATCATAAATACTATAAGTAATTTGAGAGAAGTTCAAGTCAACTTAAGTCTCAAGTATTTGTTGAAAATGTCAATTAAAGCTCTGAAAGTTGTGTGGAAAGAAAACCTCTGCTGCCGTGTGGGCTGCTGGGCGAGGGTGTTTCCTCCAGATGTTTACCACCAAACGCTGGAAGTAGATGTGTTTCCAGTTGGGACACTTGGGTCTCAGGACAAAGATCTGTTGTCTCTGTGAGAGAGGGGGCGCTTTGGTTCCCACTGCCTATCTGCTGTCAGATCACCTATCTGCCCGGCGCAGGACAGATAAAAGGTCTTTTGGCTCAGCACAAAGAAAACAAACAAATCCTGAGCCACCCTCTTTTTCCCTCTCCATCAACCATGAGACACACACTTGTCACTTTTGCTCCTTAAATTTAGATTTGTGCTTGATATCTAATGCTTCTAATTAAAACAAAATCTACCTTTCCTTTTGCTTTTTTAGCACTTGTTAGTACAAAGCACAACCAAGGGCTCACACACACATACACACACTGCTTATCTCACGCTGAATGAACGGAAACACACGGAGTGGATGTCTCTGAGGTACCGTTCTTCTGAACAACACTGGGATACTAATCTTTGCAAAACAAAACTAAATCACAGAGAATAAAACATGAGTAAAACTTATATTATCAAATTTAAGAACAACTTTTGCTGCAAAGACACCAAAAAAGTTTTAATTCACAGACACTCGAGCAAATACGTTTGACAGTTTAGCCCAGGTGTGGAAATGTTATGACACGATTAAATAAGAAACAGTTATCTGGACTTTTTTACCTTCTGCACTCACACAGCACAGAACAAGACTGAAGCTATTTTAGACTTTAAGGGCCCTCAGCTCTGATTCTGTTCAATCTAAGACTAATCCAACAGCATGTATCCCAGCCACAAGTGTTTCCTACCTGGTGTGAAGACATGGACAGACACTAGCAGCAGCAGGACGAGAACCCTGATGGTCTTCATGGTGACTCTGCGTAAACTCCTTCGACTTCTTCTTCCTCAGACTCCAACTGAGCGGCCAGTGGAAAAGGTGCTGTGGCGCTTCGCTGCTGTGGTTTTTTTCAGCACTTCCTTTAGATAAAGAAGGGGAGGAAATAAATCGGCTTCCCTTCCTGACGTAAAACTGGGCGGATGTAGAGACCAGCCCAGAGCAGCCAGTGGGTACGAATGACCATTTAATCTCACATTTGACAAATGTTTTTCGAATGCATCGTCAACTCCCATCACTTATTTTTTCCTGTCCTGACACCCACTTACCAGTTGGGAGGAGACAGTGCAGGTGATGGGTAGAGGAAGTCAGCTTAGCTTTAAATAAACACTGTGGAATCCAAGAATTCTATGTAATTAATTATAAGATGAGGAAACAAAGATGTGAAGTACTTTGGAAAAGGATATTGAAAAACAGAAAGACACAGCGACACACTTTTTAAGATCTTTTCCAACTGTCACATGCATTCATCAACAAAACACATTAGGAAAACTTTTTTTTATAACAACTTAGATAGCCTTAATGTTAAACGCTCTCTCTAAATTGAATAACCTGTAAATATAGTATCCATAACACATTTCCACTTTATTTTTTCTAAATAAAATGCTTATTTTAAGATCTGTATTGCTTAATCCTATCACTTTTCTATACTCTTTGTCATGCTCTTGAATCAGTTTTTTTAAATTGTCTAATTATTACTATTAAATGTGTCAAATCAGGCCAATACAGAATAACTGTCGTTGATGGAACACTTGAAAACAAGATCTTAATGGGCTATTCCTGGTTAAGTTTTCCAATAACAAAATAATTGTTGTTTAATAACTGTTGAAGCAGGTGATGAAGAACTAAGTCGTTACAGGGGGGCTGCTCAAATACAAGCAATGACGTTTGACCATTCTTCATTGTTTATGTCACAATGCCTCCAGTGTCTTTGACTGTTTTCTATTCACGAGTCCAGCGGTTGGTTTGATGTGTTTTTTTGTAAACATCTTATTGTGTATGATCATGGTTTTTGATCTACGGACACAGCACTAAGAACAACTTCCCTACCACTTGACATTTATATTTTCATTTTGCAGAGCCTTTATCTTAGTTTTCTTTTCATATAAACCCTCAGAGGATACCAAATCTAGCTGTTGTTTTTCTGGCACTCCCGAAAAAAACAGGATGCCAGAGTTTTCTTTCATTTGAGCATTGTGTTTGATTTCAGCTCAAGAGACCAACGAGAGACACTTGGAGGACAAGCAAGTCAAGGCTGCTCAGTCAAATATGTCGGAGTACTTTATTTGTTAACTGGAAAGTAGATTTCTCTGATGTGTTTACTCGAAGATGGGAGGTTTAATTTCCAACACACCAGTTATTAAAGCATCGATATCAAATCTTGCCACATTTTAATCTTTGAAGGAGGAAGCCTGCAGATCTTGTGTACACAGGTATTATTGTGCACACTTGGCTTCAAGTCACTGAGGTTGATGAAGAGGAAACACCTTTGTTGCCAAACTGCCAAGGAGCAGTTTCCCATCTGGACACCGGCCAAAGTGCTTGAGAGGAAATGTAACTGCAAAACACGGAGACTCCTTCGCAGAACTCAGTGTGAGGATGCTAGCTCCATATAGTGATTTAAAAAATCATTTCAGGTGTCTATACCTCTCTTGACCTCTGAAGTGATGATATAATATGTGTGTTAGCTACGGGTGTTTTCCTGTTCTCTCTTTTGGAAACAAACTATGATGTAGCTGAGTCACACACACACATTCACACACACAGGAGAAGCAGGTTCATTTCAAGTTGAAATTCATGCACATTTTTATTGAACAGTTATATAAAATACTTTTCATAGTTGCAAGTGCATGCCTCATCTGCCAACAGTTTTGAAGTTAAATTACAAAAAGCAAGGCTTCATGTCGTGTAGTGAATTACTTGGGCACTTAAGCAGTTCTTAAAAAAGATCAAAGTTATTTATTTTTTTAGTTTCATCTTAAAGTATTGAGCAGTATCAAACCTGTAACTGATATACAAAGTAGAGTTCCAAATAATAATGGTAATAATAATCAAATTACACTTTCTGTGGCACATTTACAAAACAGAACAAAACTGATTTACCTGTTATATGACACAAACAGCTAATCATGCATTTTTGAGTTACACATGTAACCACACACCTCACAAGAATTGTCAAACATGCTTAATTGGACTGTGTGCACTTACAAGCGCAGGTTAAAAATATGATTTCTCATCCATCTTAGATAATTAAATGCTTCAATTACAAAAGAAGTTGAAGGCATAGAGCATCATGGTGTTAATTGAAAGTATGCAGGTATACGTTTCCAGTATATGTTCACTAAAGCGCAATATATCTCAAAACAGGCCTCCACAGCCAAGGTATTCAGATTTTCTATTTCCTTTGTTTGATTTTTATAAAACATGCATAGGCAGACACTTTAAGTTTATTGTATTTTCTTTTTTACACAATATAGGTTCTCTATTTTTACTTTGTTCGCAATACTTAAAAAGAGAAAAATGAACACTCAATTCCAGCAAGCCACGATAAATCTACCCCCCCCCCTTCCAAAAGAGACAAAAAAATAAACATATTTGCAAATGATAGATAGGTAAATGTAAATTCCAGTTATGAAACTCAAGAAAATAGGTATTCATTACCGAGTTATTTAGCCATTATACAGAAAAATCAGGTCAAAGCACACACCAAAAGAACCTGAGGTAAGCATAATATGTACAAAACCATAAAATGTTCCAATATTTGGCATTTCGACAACATTGCAACATTCTTTTTAAGACTGCCTAATTAATTTCAGAGCTATTTTATAAGAGTAGCAAAAAAAAGTTATCAATAAATAGTCCTTATTTAGTTTGTACACCCTTATATGTTAAAAACACGATCTCATGTTCTGTCCTTTTTAGTGCTGTATTTTTGTAAACGTACAATAGTTAGTAAGAAGTGACACGGCTTTCTGTGTAAATGAGCAAAGGGTCTTTCAAGAAATAAAAGAAAATGATTCACCTTTAAGATCTCTTGCTCTCCGACTATCCGCAGGGGGGCGGAGGATCGAGCTCACTAAAGGCCTGAGCTTCAGAAATGTGACCCGGCAATAACTTAGCAGATTTTATTATGAACTAATATTTAGAAGGCATATCCAAAGACTAGAAAGTGAGATGGGGCCCCCAGCGTGAGCCATAGATGCCTCCCCCCCCCTCCACAATCCAACTCTCCCCCCCTTCTTTGCCCCTCCTGCGGTGGGGGCCGTGATGAGACTGGGGGCTGGGCGGCCCCTCTGGCCAAAGAGGCTCCGTGCTGCCTTCACTGGATGTTGCTGTCGCTGCTGGTGCTGCCCTTGGCGTCCGTGCCGTTGGTCTCCGAGGACAACGTCTTGTTGAGCGAGTTGAGGCTGGCGTCGGACGAGTTGAGGCTGGCGTCTCGCCGCGGCGGCATCCTCTCGTTGATGCGGTCCAGACCCTTAGCCTCTGCGAAGCTGGTGATCTTGTGCTGGGGCGAGAAGCCTTTGATGGCTGTTGAGATGCAAGAAACAAAAGGGGGAAAATAGTGGAGAAATCAGGAGTGGTTTGAGAGGGGAGGGATGACATGAGTAATAGAATGGGTCACACGCTCACATTCACCCACACATCACCAGATTTATCTTTGGTTTGGTCTCATGGAATTGTTGTAAATATTGAACTGAGAAAAGGACAACGACATGAGAGATGAGTATGTGAAGGCATGTTAACAGTAATGATACCTGCATCATGTGATCCCTAAAGAGCTTTCTTTAAAGGAATAGTTTGTCATTTTGGAAAATATGCTTATTTACTTTCTAAGGTCACGGATGATAATAATAAACAAAGTAAGCATAAATTAGAAACGGGGAAATAGCCTGGCTCTGGAAATCAGCCTATTGGCTCTTTTAAACTAAATTATTCAACACGTTAAATGATGTTTTTGTTATCTGTTCTGAAATCTATAATTATGTGGAATTACATTTGAGTAGTCGTTTTTACGCTCTAAGCTTAGAAACTGTAGACCCAAACCAAACAAACAGATATGAGAGACGTACTGATCTTATTAAAAAAGCCTCTACCCAACATGACAAATAAACTAAACTAAAATATCACTCACCTCTGAATAATAGATATCAATGGCATTACTGCGAAGGGAAACAACTGAAGAAGTAGATCTGCTCTGCCTTAGTCGAGGTGGAAATGAGAAATAAAGTTCCCCGTCTTGGTTCAGACTACAGAGCCTCTGTGTTGTTGTAAACATGCAATTCATCAATTCATCAATTCATAAGTTGACGTTGACTAATCGCCTCGCGAAAGCTGAGAAAAAAACACCTCTTTCTTGAAATGTATTACTTTTTCACCATGCAGCATTTGCTTTGTATGTTGAATTCTTAACAATAACATACATTCAAAAAAAAAATCTACCTTATCTCTCAGTTAGGAAGTAAACAAGCATATTTCCCTAAATGTCCACTTTAACTGGACATGTGTTTATGATGAGACACAAATCTGAACTATTCATTTGTCTGAATTAAACTGTGTTCAAGTGTGTTTTTTTATGAACAACAGCGTAGATCGTACAGCATATTACATATTCGTCACTTTGAATGTTTAGTCGTTAAAGAACAGATAAACAATTAATAAAAAACACATTTTTGTGAAATGACAACACCACATTATAAAGAGTTACAAAATGATAAACTGCACAGACAAAAGGATCAGATCTAAAAGGGGGCTCTACTGGAATCAGGGTCTACAGGTTTTCACCGTGCCATCAATCTGTGCTTAAAGCTGAGAGAACTGGACCGTTTCATAATGGCAGCATATTCAAATATCAAATACTATTTTAACTCGGGCACATTGCAGAACACCTGAGGACCCCAAACATCCAGATCACCCCGTCACGTCACGGATTTAAAAAACGACAAAAGGGAAGAAGGAGAATGATAAAGAAGAGACAAATAAATAACGAGGGAGGGGGAAAACAAAGAGTGGAGCCCACTGAGACATTCACTTTCACAAAATAGAACCACGTTGAGACTGAGCTCACGTACAGAGACACTACAGAGGAACGGGGGTGCTAACACCTTGTTTGGTCTGCTGGAGCATGCAGCAATAACTTCAC